GACTTATCATGAGAACAAACGTATTCACGTGACTTTAAGAACATTTCTTACTTAATGGAAACACTGCAGCTGTGAAACTGTGTTTTCGACATTAACAGAATAACGACAAAGTTTTGCGCAAATTTGTAATGGAAACACAGCTTATGAGACCTTCATATCRACTGCTGTGGAGCGCTTCCATCAGAGTGTAAAAATCACTGATATTAAGTCATGTGTCATTGAAAACACTTTCCATGTTTAAACTACAAGTGGACATGACTGAACTTTTGTGTTTTGAGCAGGTGAACAAGCTGCTGYATGMGGGGGTTGTGGCAATCCAGAGGTTGAAAACATGGAAACTGTTAACTGTGTGTTTTTTTTCCTGCAGTTAGGACAGGACTTGAAGACAGATCGAGTCAAACTCTAATTACACTTTCCTCTATTTATTTATGCAGCCAACACTTCTCAGGAATGATCAAAAGTAAAAGAAATCAGACTTGACTAAATTTAATTTAAGACCTTGGATGAAAATCTGGGCGTTTTTAAGACTTTAGGCCTAAAATGTTGATTTTCAAATTTTTGACTTCTTTAGACTTTTTCAGACCCTGCATGAACCCTGGTTAGGGTTAGGTTAGGTTTAGCCTAACCTAACCATGAATGCTGTGTGTCAGGAAACAGACGGTGGAACTGTGYCACTCTGCAGGGGGATCAGGACGTACAACTCCAAGTATAAAACAAGTTGGAGTCTTCYAACCTTTACAGACTTCAAGAGCTTCTTAAATTAATGAAGACATTTATAATAAACATGAATAACTCTGTAAAACTCTTTGTTTTTCACCTTCAGGTCCAAAAACAGGGCGTGGCATTTGAGTCTGAGGATGACCATCAGCTTCCTCTTCATCTGCTGWCCAGCTGAGTGGTTAAAGCCCAAAGTCAGGCTGTAGCGCAGAGACAGACCTGCATAACTGTAACAAACACAAAGCTACACATAAATGCAACAATATAAAAAAGACTACTAAATATTACCTTTATACTGACTGAAGTACAGGGAGGACAGTGTTTATACAGAAATAAGGCAATAAAAACTCCTGTCATGAAACAAACAGACCTTAGAACGATGGGTTCTAATGAGACAAATTGCAGTGAAGCTAGTAAATTCTGAATTATTTAACTAAAAMAGTTATTAAATCTAAAATAAGAACAGAAAAATGTAGGAGGAGGAAATAAGTACCGTATTTATGCATGTATAGAGCGAGAAATTTAACCGGTGGCTTGTATTTTACAGCAGGAAATTCTGACTGACTTCTTCCTCATGAACAACCACAACATGTCAACATGTCCTTGTATTAACTTTGAAGTTTTAGACACCAGTCAGTGCATACTAAACAAACATTAAGACTAAACACAGGTGCTGATCTCCAACATATCCAATAAGCAAAACGAACAAAACAAAAACAACAAAAAAGGACAAATTAAAAATACATTTAAGACAAACATATCCTGTTGTTGTGACACTGCTTAGTTATGTTTTGTGTTTTAACATAAGATACTTTTTCCCCTGGCAGTTATTTCCTCATGTGTTGTGTTTTTCTTTCTCGTACACAACTGACATATGGTGTCGCAGTGATAAATCTTTRTTTCTCCCTCTCTCCCACTGTACGTCACGCATAACCAAGTATATTAATCCCTGGGGTCAAGAGAGAAAATGTCTTTCTTGTTAACCGCGGTGATGAAAAGTAGACGTGGAGGTTAGCTGCACCTTTCTGATGAATCCATCTGTCCAATTTAACAACCAGCTTCTTTACTTTMAGAAACATGCAGACCCAGGCATTGTGCTGGCCTCCTCCACACCATCAAACACGTCCAACAAGAAGGGCTGCAGCGATGCAGAAAACTCACCATTCAGGTCAAAACTTTAGTGTCACCGTTTGATTTTTCTTCAAACAAAAAAGAGAAATGTCCATGCCTCCTCAACTTGTAAATTATTGTAATTAATTATGAACATTTGTTTAACCTCAAAAGTCCAGTTTTTAAATTAAATGTTGCTGAAACAGCAAGTTTCTCAGTGGATCTGTGCTCCACAATACAGCCAAGGTGGAGTAGTCGAACACAGATCCACTGATCCTTTAAAACGTATAAAATGTTACAAAAAAACCAAAGTCCCCCTCTCCTGGATGATACGCACACAGTATACAGAAGAAGCTACCATACAGAAAAATAAAAACGAGTCAGCGTTTGTGTGMCGAGAGCTCCACCTTGAATAGTCTTTGTGGACGTCCAGTGAGCAGGTGTCCAGCAGCAGACCACACCATGGGAACAGGCAGTGAGGCGGCAGCATGCGAATGTCAGGACAGCTGCCAACACTTCCTGGTACCTGGAAGTTCACCACCACTTTCTGAGGGTTGACCACCAGCCCGTACTCTGGTACTCCAGCCAACAAGACTCTACAAACAACAGAAGGCCATGATTTCATCCATCTCAGTGGTGTCGCTTGGTTTATTTTGTTGTTCATACCTGAGAAACGTTTGTGCTTGATGGTGATCTGGAGTGATAAAAAGGAAGTCATCCACCAGTCTCATTAAACACCTGCAGAAACAAGGAAACCATCAGTGAAACATCTCTGCACAGTCCAGGTGATGGATTCTGTGCTGTACCCTTTGTTTTTAGTGATGTCTCTGAACAGGACGTTCTCCATGTGGCCGTAACACAAACAGCAGAGGAGACTGGACACCACCGCTCCCTGAGGAATCCCTCGGCACTGACGGTAAGTCCTGCAGTACAAAGTCTAACTCAGTGTTTAGGTCAGAAAATGAAGAGTATTTCCACTGAGCAAAGATGAATCRAACAGAACTGACTTCTTCTTGTACTGAACCACGCTGTCAGTTAACATTTGGGTGAAGAATTGCAACGCCTGTCTGCCATAAAGGTGAGAGCTGAAATGCTGGAATAATTCAAAATAATGAAAAGTGAGAAAGAAATGATCGACTTTCCATAAAAGTWACTACAGCATGTGATGATGGGAGTCCTACCTGCTCCACCAGGATGGAGTTGTAGACTTTTCCACTTTTCTGCAGGGACATCAGAAACCCCTTCATGTTGGTTGATCTGAAGCTGTCCTTAAAGAAATCTGACTGTGAAAACAAAACCAAGACCAAGAAAAGTCAAACGATGTGCCCAGCTGGCTGTAGGTTTGACACAAGGACAGCTGAGGTTCACATTTTGAAGAGAAAACTTCCAGTTCAGTCCRCCATTTAATTCCATATAAACACTGATGTCCTGATGCAKCTCAGTAATCCAAGAAGAAAAATCTAAAGAAAAATAAGTAGGTCCTCTGGACAGTTKCTTCTTTAYCGTTGATTGATGATTCACACCTTTTGCTCACGGGGGCGGAGTCATACCTGCAATAACAGCGTTGTAGGAGGAGGACAACTGAAAACGGAGGCCTCCACCTCTGTTTAATGATGGACGGTCTTTCTACACAAAGATGGCTTCCTTTGCAGAGTTGGGTTGACTTTACTGAAGCATATAT